TTTATAACAGTTTGCTTCCCGCTGCAGTTTAAGATGATTATCTACAGTTGTCAAGATTTAAGTTATTGGAACCATATAGTTCATTTTTTAATATTTTATATTTGTCATGGTAGGTCAAGCCACTTGAATCTCAAGACAGGATATAGGGTTTTAAATTATTGACATTCAACAATTTTCATGTTGTTTGGGAAATACCAGGATAATGTCACTACTTGTAAATGTGCTAATCAGTTTGTACCTGTTTTGATATATGCTGAAAACATTTAACATGAGTTACATTTTAATACAATTTTTAATATTGAATTTTTCAAATTGAGACATAAAAGGGCATTTTAAATATAAATATCTGTGGTCTAAAACTTGGAAATATTATTAATTGATGCTACTTTTTTACACAGGAGAACACAAAGTTATACCTTAATTTACTTGAAATGGAATATAGTGGTGACCTCAAACAAAATGAAGAAAATATCCTAAATTGTTTTGACAAAGCTATACATGGTTCATTACCTATTAAAATGAAAATTACATTTTCTCAGAGAAAAGTGGAATTTCTTGAAGATTTTGGTTCGGATGTTAATAAGTAAGATATTAATTATATATTTATATTTGAATAGTAAATGAGCATTGATAATTCTTGATGGGAATTTGATGATTAGTACAACTTAATATCTTGTTGAATTTAAAATGTTTGCCTAGTTTATTTTTCCCTTAGGTAGATGTGGGGTAAATTCAGTTTCGTAAATGTATATGTGTTTAAGAGGAGGACATATGGTTTGTTTTTCCTTCAAAACTTTTCAAAATTTTGGTATGGTAATTTGAACAGTGAGTAGATGAGAGAAGGCAGGTAGGAAGCAGCAATCCCTTGAGAAAGGGAATAGATCAAGGATTGAACCCTGAAACACAGATACATATAGGCCACAGAAGGTGGATGGGATTCATGGGGGGGGTGGGGTAGGAATGCCATTTTATCTCAGATTGGAAAAGAGGATGGATATGGTTCTACAGATAATGCCTAATGGCCTTATCTTTGTGCATTGTAAAAAGCTGAAAGTTAAGGGTGGTAGAAATCTAGATTTGAGTAAAGGACAAATTTAAGATTTAAATTTGTAAGACAGAAGAGTAGAAATTGATTAGAGCTGCAGTTCCATTTCTAGTAAGGAAATATCCCAGTTCTTGTTAGGCATGTGCCTTCTCTAATTCTAATTTAGAGTGAATTCCATTGAAATAGCTATTCATAAAATAAGACTTACTTGTGTGTCTGTGTGTATTTATATGTGTATGTGTACATTTTTGATGGTTGAGTAAAATTTCAAACTAAAAATCATTTAACATGAGTTACATTTTAATACAACTGTATGTATGTGTTTGGTTTACATTTAAATGTTTTATATGAATTATCTAATGTAAAATATGTTAATAGTCTAATGAGGAGTATAGGCACTTCAATAGGTGGAGAGGTTTAGAGAGAGATTAGGCATTTTTTCCAAGGTCACTTAGCTATTACGTTGTACAGCTGGGATTAGAACCTACTTCAGAGTCTGCTCTTAACCACCTCATGTCCTCTATAGCTAGTGTCTTCTGTTTGTTTTGCAATGAAGAAAATATACGAAAGAAATGGTATACGTAATTCTAGTTTTTAGTCTATTTGGATGATATGGTAATTGAGGAAATACATAAGTATATGAAGTAGCATATAACTTAAGACTGTGGGTCAGAATGGATTTGTCATCCTTCATAGAAAAAGTGGGGCTTCATTTAAATACAAGATTCTGATAAGGAGGATAAAATGTGGAAGTTAAAAGTTCATATAAAAGTGACATCTGCTTTATGGAGAGTTTTGTGAAGTAGTGGAAGTTATATAGATTGTGCTGGGTCTTGAGAGCTAGACTGAGTTCAGAGAACATGTAGTACACAGTTGACAGTAGGAAGCTATTAGAGTTTTGGTTGAGATTAAATGACATATTTTAATTAGGCAGTAATATGCCTGCAAAGAGGCTCAATGCAAAGATGCCAGTTGGGCCTTTGCAAATACTATTAAGGAGGGTCTTAGTATCAGGTAGTATGTTGTAGTAGAAATTAAAAAGAAAAAAAGAATGATTGAAAAATAAATGAGCCATTTAGACATTTAGATAGCAGTATAATGAATTAATAAGAATTAATGCTTTGGTCAGACAAATACAGGCTTAAATGTTAAGTCACTTGATTTGTATGTTCTTCATTTTTCAAAATTTCTCACATGAAGATTGAGTCTCATCACTCAATCCACGGGTTGTTAAAGGCTTTAAGGTAATTAGTCCATTTAAAGTTTGATATTGAGTAAACACTCAACCTGAGATGACTGGTATTAACAATTTTATAGCCCTTGAACATGTTGGGACCAGTGTAATTATAAATATTATTAAATGTGTGTATATATATATATATGCAAGATGCCCAGGGAAGTTGTGCATGTTATGTAAAATTTCAAGGTTATTTCTACAGAAATGTTGTATTCAGGTTTATGATTACTTTTAAAAATAAAGCCAATATTTCAGAAAATGGTAAAAGGAAAACAAAATCATGATTTTACAGTCAGTTTGGCTTTAAGTGACATATGGCACTTAGAACTTCATAAACAATAAGTTCCATATATTACATCAGAATTTTATTAAAACTTACCTTTTAATTAATGATAACCAACTATACTATAGTTTTATATGGTTTTTAGTTTCATTTTAAATACACTTTATCCTAACTGATGTCAGGTGTCTTCAGTAGCATTGTTAAGTTAGATTTTAAAGTATACAGATTGTACAGTTGTCAGGACTACATGATCGCATTGGACAAAAACATCAAGGTCATTGTCTTAGTTGTGTCACAGCTTCTCAGGCAGGCTTTCCTTATGTATTAGAAATGATAAGCACAGGTAGCTCTTGGCCATCAGCTTTTAGCCAACTAGTAGAACAGGCACCTTTTCAGTAGCTCAGTCAAAAACCCTGGGACTACTAAACGTCCTGGTTTGGGTCATATCCTCACCTCTAAATCAATTATTGGTCAAGGATATAATGTAATTAGCCAGGCCTGTAAGAAGCCCCATTTGAATGCATGGACTGAGAAGGAAAGTGCAGGGCAGTGGTTCCTCAGAAAAGGTAGCTGGGAACAGATTTGCCTGCTGGCTCATTAAAAAAGAAAATCAAAGGATGTTCATTTCAATTTACTTTTGTTTTCCTAAGTAGAAATAAGTTAAAACACTTTAAAATTTTAAGTTTGGATTTTGTATATTCCAGTGGATTTTTTTTCTTTTCTCTCAGGCTGTTGAATGCTTATGACGAACATCAAACACTCCTAAAAGAGCAGGATTCTTTAAAAAGAAAAGCAGAAAATGGGTAAGTAACTTTGTTGAATCAGAAAGGGATGCTTAAAAGACATTTCATTGTGGTAATTCCTGTAAAAGACAAATATTTTTAAATGTTACCTTTATGTTGTGGTAATCTAGACAATTTTTTAAAAAAATATGCAGATGTACACTGGTGGCATGCATCTGTTTGTTAAAGTACGTATCTGTAGTTTTAAAGGTTTCCATTTGTCCTTTTATTTAGATCAGAAGAACCAGAGGAAAAGAAAGCACACACAGAAGATACAACTTCATCATCTACACAGATGATTGATGGTGATTTACAGGCAAATCAAGCTGCATATAACTATAGTGCCTGGTATCAAGTGAGTTCACACAATTATAATTGAATTTTTGGTTCATAGATGTTGTTAAAAAGGCTTTTTTTTTTTTTTAAAGAAAAAGCAATTCTGCTTCTGTTCCAGATTGTACAGTACGTTATTTTGTGGTCAAATCTTAGAATTTCAGCAGTGAACACATGCCTATTTTCTTACACATACTTGCTTTATATATATATATTTTTTTTATATGAAATTCAGCCATAGTGCTAGCATGCCAACATGTTTGCTTTTTCCTTTCAGTATAATTACCAGAATCCTTGGAATTATGGACAATATTATCCTCCTCCTCCAACTTGATGGAAAAATGTAAATATCAGATGGAGTGTGTGACAGTATGAAATTTTTTTTTTTTTTTTAAATGAGGGATGTAAACATAGCATAAGCTTGTTGTATTTGATAACTTGTCTTCCCTGGTTCTGTGTAACATTTGTTTAGTAATAGGGGAAAATGTCACTAAGTAGCTTACAGATACTATTTCCTACCATTTATAAAATTTACTTTTTATTGGAGAACTATTTTTTTTATTTTTGCATTAAGTGGTCTAGAATTCTTTTGCAATGCATTTGCAAGAGTTTTTGTAGCCTTAAAGGTAGGAAAAAAAACCTGACTGCAAATCATGTCAGTGTAGTACAAGATTCTGAAAATACATTAAGGGCTGGTTTAAGGATTTACCTCCAGTTAAAAAAAAAAAAAGGATTTTAACCTTTGCTGACTAGGTTTTGTCTGCGTGTTTCAATTATCCTTGTGAATTTCGATCTAACTGCAGAAAATATACATAATTGAAATACTGTATCTTGAAATAGATTATAAATAAAATGTAATGTTTGCATCCCTTTAAAAAATGAAAATCATATCAAAAGTATGTTGTTTCAGGAGACTTTGTATTTAGAATATTCATGTAAACTTGTGAGCAAGCCTTCATTTTTGATCAAACTGATCATCTTCATTTTTGTAATAAAATTGAAGACTCATCCTCTAATTGTTATGAATTTATTTGGGAGATCACTTAATATTAACTTTATTATTAGTGGGTCATTGATTTTGAAGTATCCTTTTCTTGAATTCAGCTATTATCTTCTAACATTTCTTAAACCTTTTAGCTTTTGAATTCCTCTCAATCTCTGCTTTTGCCTTCTCACTATATAGGAATATTTATTTTAAAGATTTTAATATGAGTGTCCCTGGCAAAGCTGTCTAGACAATTTTACTGTTATTCCCTGGTTTGGTAAAGTCTTAGTCCTGGTTAACCTAATCAGAATATTAATATATTAACACCAAACAAATCAAGACACTGGATAAATTTTTATTGAGCCTTTTAGTTTACAACATGAGGTAAAAGAAAAATGAGTTCTCCTTAACCAGTATTTTACACACCAGTAGTAAAATATTTTAAACTTCAGGGATTTATAACAGATTACATTTTTTAAAAGTTTGGGGATCAAGTAAACAAGTTCTAACTTAACTCCTGGAATTTTGCAGTTGACTCTTCCCTTAACAATAGCAACCAGATGTAATTAGTTACATAAGTTTCTTCAAGGCCATTGCTGATGTCTTTAGATCTCAAGCATTGCTATTTCAATCAATATCCACTAATTCCACTTCAAATATGAGTTTTGCATTTGGTGGGATTCTGTTGAAGAAGTCAAGGTAAATATGATAAAAGTTGCTTCTCCCCTCACTCCCAATAACGTTAATCTAAAATCAGAGTTATGTGTACTGGATGTTGGTAAATAACTCCAAATAGGAGGACTTTACAGTTGCTTCAGAAGTGAATAATAAGTGTAGTGGTTCCTAATAAAGGTATCTTTGTGAATGGAAATCGTAGACTGACTAGAGAAGTTTAGCATGGACTAAGATCTTCCTTCCTGGGATGCCTCACCATTAGCAACCATTTAATGAAGACTGCTACTCAGTACTGAAAAAAAAAAAGTGATTTCAGTCTAGCTGGGTATATATTAAATCAAAGTTTATATAAGGTAGTTCCTAATATTTGTTGTGAATTTAAAAATGCTCAGTTTAGAGAAGAGTTCGATTTTTATCTGAGATTGGTCTTGAAATGCTTCACATGAGGGAGCTACAGCTGGCCATCAGATTTTGATAGGTTTAGAAGAGACTTATATCCTCAAATAATGTTAACTGATAAGACTAGAAAGGACTTCCAAAAAAACTTTTTTTTCAAACTTTAATTGGTCCAACTAGTCCAATGGGAATGGAACCAACAACAGAAAACTAACTTCTCACCACTTATCTACTGGATTGTTCTGGAGTCATGACTTTTTTTTAATGTTCACAAACTAGACCTATCAGAAAAATATTGTCATTAGTAGTAATCACAGATGCTTACAGTATGATGGATCCATGGTCTCCTTCATTTCATAACTGGTAATCCCTAACATGTTTTCCATTTCTGTGCTTTGTATACTTACTTATAATCACCTAAAATTATACTGTAGCATAAATTACCATGAACCATTATCTGCATCCTGCAGTTTGTTACGATTGTTTGTATTGAGCAGCTTAACTCCTTGAAGTAAACCTTTCAACCATTAACAATTGCCTTTCAAAGTGGAAAACTTAAACCTCACAGTTTAGGTTTGAAAAGTAAGAGCTTGAAGAGGAGGGAAAAAAAGGTAGATTCTACCTCAAGTTTGAATACTTTGTACCAACAGAAAATATTAACTATTGTCTGTATTGCAGATGTTGATACAAAAGCCTCTAAATATCAGGAAGACTGGTCTGGACAGGATTCCTGACCCTGGAGATTAACCTAGACAGCATCTTTCATACCGTTAGGTGATCTTTTAGTGATTTTTCTTTAATTACAAGGGAAAAAAGGATACTTGGCGTCAGGCTGTCCTTTCTTTCCATAAGCCCATTCTGGTTCAATCTCCAGTCGAGCCTTTTCTCCTTTACTCATAGTCAAGAGTGCTTCATCCCACTAAAGGCAAGAACATAAAATCAAAACTAATGATAGTCTGCAAAAAATACATGCAAAACCAGAAGAGGGGCAAAGTTATATACAAAAAGAACATTACTGGATTTCATTATGTCCTAAGGTAATGTCCTTAGGTGAGTCCCCAAATCACTGTCCTTTATTTCCTCGGGGCGGCGGGAACGACACTATTTTTTTAGTGTAATACTCAAATGCCTCAAATGATAAAATGTGCAAACACTTTTGTAAACTGTAACATGTTATAAAGTATGGAAACCAGTTTATTATCAGTATCATAAAAGTTTTGCTATACTTTTCTATCAGGACAAACCGGAATTTATTTTTATAGAGATAAACTAATAAGTACTCACTCTAATGATAGAGGTTTCTGGGCTGCCACTCCATTTTGTCAAAATTTGGATTTTAAAGTCAGTTACCAAAAACAGTTTAATCAACATGATGCAAGAATATAGACTATATTACTAATATATATTCTATTGAAATTTAACAGTCACATATTGTTCAAGGGATAGACAGATCTGTCACATACTGGAAATTAAAAATATTGTTAACTAGAAGGAATTTACCAGTAAGCAAATTATAGAGATAGAAAAATAGCTCAACTTGATATATAGTTGCTATCAACTTGGTATAATCAGGTAGCAGTTAAGGTTACTTTAAATTTTTAGTTTCGAGATATATTTTCTATTCTAGGTTCTGGATATGATTGAACTATATTTTAGGACTTACCCATAGTACAAGGGGTAACATTGAGGGTTCTCATAAGTGCATTTAAATAGGTATTTCAGTTATTGTTTGATGTCCTGAGTAAAAACAATTTAAAACAATAAGTGGGCCCTAGCATGACAACCTGATTCAGTGAAGCTGATAATCAGCCTTGGCTTTTTATCTCCTTTTGTACACTGGAATGGTAAAGTACAGCTGAAGCCTAACTTCCCCTTTTCTCAGAGTTTCCTTCCATTATCTCTCTTAGATAAAGGTGTATAAAGGCATGCCTATGTTTGAAAGATTTCTGGTGTTTGAGCTTAGGTTTTGAGAGGTGAGTAGGCTAGAGAACAAATTTGTTTTTATCAGTATTTTAGTGGAAGATATTTTACTTTTCTTGATCAACAGTTATGTAACATCTTACAAGAATCTTAAAGACAAACTTAAAAAGCGAAACATCCTAAGAAATATAATAAAAAGAGGTATGTTGGAAAGAAATATCTGAGTCTGATATATTACATGCTTTAAGTTATATTCATTTAATCTTTTAACAAACTTGAGGTAGGCTGTACTGTCCTTATTTTATAGATGGGGAAACCAAGACCCAGAGAACTTGTGCCATATCAGTTAGTGACCATAGCACCAATTTGTCAGACTCTAAAGATTGTTTTCATCACATCCCCAATCTTAATTCTTTATGGCACCAAGCCACAAGTAGCATGTGACAGAATCTCTTGATTCACTGCCATTTTTTACTTACTCCTCTGATAACTTTGCCTATTCCAACCTTAAAACTTAAAGGCTTGGCATTTTTCTTCTTCTTTGAGCCTGTAAAACAGATTTTCCTTATAATTAATGATGAAATTAAGTTCCAATGGAAAACACAGGGAATTAAATGTTGACATTGATTTTTAGAACTTACCATACTATACATTTGAAAAGAAATAAAAATTCAAAAAGCCAGGTAATTTATCAAGAGTGGTCTAAATGGGGGAAGAGGGGGAGGACCTATATTTACACCACTAAAATAACACACGATCCTGCCTTTTGTATTAACTTACTAAAGCTTCATTTTGGGACATTAACCACGTTTAGACTAAGCTTCTTTGTTTTTTGGCTTTCCAATGACCAAGAGGTCTTTATTCACCAAGTCAATAAGTAGTAAGTAAACTGAAGACCTCTTCCAAGTAAATCACAGGTGCAAATGACCTCTAGAAAAAAGGGACAGCCAAGAAGAAGGTACTGCCAAATGTTCACCTACAGACTTTGTAATGCCTTAAAGTCAAAAAGGTAAGATTACATTTAGACTTACTCGTTTGAATATTGGTATCAAAAACAGTTCCATCCTGTAGTGTTCCTGTATACCAGCAATGAACAACATCTCCCTTTTTGGGGAAGTTGGTCTTATCCCCCTTTTTAAGAACAGATTTTGTGTATTTTGGTGGACCCTACAAACAAGACAACACACACAGAATTATTATTAACTCATGTCCTTTTAGAAGGATAAAGGATGACAGAATATGTATACAGCCAACTGTAACCTAAGGCTGGTCACAGTGGTTCACCTCTGAGTTAATAAAGTCACTATCTCTCATTTCAAGTCTGTAATGAGAATATTAGTAACTAGGATATCTATAATTTAATTTCAGATTAACTTCCAGCTTCTGTGGAAACCAATGTTCTTTGGCAAGATTCTGTTATTCACCAAACTATAAAATGAATCCAGTTATTTCCCAATGTTAGAAATATTACTATTCAATTCCTACAAGATCATTAGGCATTAAATAAAGCATTGTGACATTTTTTCAAACATTTGAGTGGTTTTAGCACCAGTAACTGACATTACTAAATATTTTTATTATATCCAATTAGAATGAATACAGGCATGATGTACCTGTTTCTGAACTTGAAGTTCACACAATGAATGGAATTATCTATAGAAGTTATAACAGGCATATTTCCTAAAACAAAGGATTATTGGTCTTCAAAAAAAAAAAACAAAAGCTAATCTAATCAAGTATGATTCATATATTGTGAGAAAAGCAGTTTCTTAGTCAAATTTAATAAACAATCTTAGAGTATAGAACATCTAATGGTAAAGGAAAAAAGAGATACTAAACACCTATTGTTTGAGTTACTTAACACATACCACCCACTTAATCCTAACAATCCTCTGAAGAAGGTATATCACCAACTTGAGTTTTTGCAGATGAGGAAACTGAAGTTCAGGATATTTATGCAACAGAGCAAATTAGTAGAGAATGAACAGGGACTTGGGTTTGTCTGAATCCAAACCCCCTGTTCTTTCCACTATACCAAAATACCTCAAATGATAGTGATCATGATAGTTAACCTCTACTGATGTTAATAGTTAAATAGTTAATTTGCCAGCCACTATTCCAAATTCTTTACATAAATTAACTTTTAATAGTCACTACTTTATGAGGTAGGTACTGTTATCCCTATGTTATAGATAAGGAAACCTAAGGATAGAGCAGTTAAGTAACTTTCTTAAGGTCCTATAGCTCCTAAGTGGCTGAGTAGGATTGGAAACCAGGCAGGTTGGATACAAATGCATGCTCTTAACCATGTTACTACCCCTCAAGCACATATGGAACATCAGGTACTATACATGTCATTTTCTTACATCAATTCATTTAACCTCACAGCAACCTAGCAGGCTTCTCCCCATCTTTTATAAAGTAAGGCCTGGATAGGGTAAAAAGCCCTATGCAATTTAGAGTAAGGATTAGCACTCTGAACTAAAGCTAGACTGCCTCCCTAAATCAAAAGAAAGTCACATCTATAGCTTGAGTACAATTTGCATTATTAAACTAAACATTAACTTCCTCTCTGACATTCCCATTCTAAGCTTGTTTTATTGAGAAATGCTACTATAAATGGTCAGGTGTCTACTAGTGGTAGTGTAAACTGGCCCCATCTCTTTGAAATGCAATTTAAAGATGTTAAAAGTGTGATAAATAATAATTCTATTTATACAACTTAGGAAAAAATCTTTATGCAGTTAGCCAATACACTGTTATCCATACTGGCAAAATAACCACACATTTTATGGTAATATAAGACAATAACATAGAAAAATTCTTTTAAAATTAAGTGAAAAATCAATAGAAAGTTCTAACTACAGTAAAATCTCAACTATTATGCACAGAAAATAAAACATTCTAGAATGTTAAACGTGTTCATTTCTAGGTGTTAGAATTACTGTTACCTATCCTTTTCTGTTATTTTCTGTTTTAAAAATAACGTATTTTTATATCAGAAAAGTAAATGGTTTTAAAATGTTGACAAAAATCTAGTAACATATTCCACATTTGAAAATAATTTTAATTAAAAAATCTTAAAAGCCAGAAAATGAGAATGACTACATATATTTATTATGAGAATATCAGACTATTTTAAGGAAATTACATATAATTATTTAAATGGATAAGGTATGATTAGTGAACAATAACCATATTTTAAATCTTAATGTAATGCCATCGTTTTCCCATTTGTTGTCTCAAGTTAATTGGGCATGTTGTGTTATCTAAACTAGAGGTCCTAGAATAATGCAAACATACATTAAATTGGTTATGGTTCAGTCTTAATGGTGAAGGTGCCAAACTGCCCAGTGATAGCCTCCATCAGTGGAGGCTTATTTAGTGTCTTTAATGGATCACTCATTCCTTGGCACTGTTAACACTGTTAGAAGGGTCTAATGTAATTAAGTTTGGGAAATACTACTTTAAAGTTATATATGACTCTATTCCACATGACTTCTCGGAGCTGTCATTAGCTAAAATGCACTGTGAATATTCAAGTAGGAGACACAACGTAGTTTTTAATGACACCGCAAAACAACCTGGAACTTCTATAATCTATATAACCAGAAATTCTACTCTGGTTATTTGAACTGATGCTGGTTTTCACTGCAAGAATCTGTTTGGTTCATGGTGAGGTCACATCAGTTCCAAGGCTATCCTGGAGTTATGTGCTTGAATGAACCTTGCTTTTAGGTAATTTGGCTTTACAGCAATTTCTTAGTCCGAAGTGATAAAAACAACATTTCCAAAATTGGATCTAACTTAGGTACTTCTAGACCCAGAGATAAAAGGACTTTGAGAGTAATCAGCCAATTACAATTAACTGAATCACATCATAGCCTCTAAAAATAAGAATATATTACATAATAGTTCCTATTACTAATCTAAGAAATATTTGAGTATGTTCTATGTGATAGAAACGATATACATAGGTGAACTGGCAGACATGGTCCTAGTCCTCCCTCCTGCAGAGAATATAGGCATGTGTATAATTACATATGTTTTGAGACCTGTAGAAAAGCACAAGATACTAAGATGGGAATGACACAGTGACCTAACCCAGTAGAGGCTATAGGGTGGGAGAGGTTTCTCTGAAGTAATGTTTAAACTGTATCCTGAAGGATAAGCAAAGGCTACTCAGGTGTTGGGGGAAGGTTTACAACAAAGAATAGCATTTTCACATAGCAGAGAAGAGCATGAAAATTGTATAATCTGCAAGGGAGGAAAGGAGAAAATGGTACGAGATAAAGGATGGAAAGACATGTAGCACGTGTGAAGAATCTGGGTTTTTATCTTCAGATCATTAACCAGCCAACTAAAGAGTTTTAAACAGAAGTTACAAAATCAGAGTTGTGTTTAAACAGATCATTGTCACACAGTGTGAGGAATGGTCAGAGAATGAAAAGTAGAAGTGAGGAGACTTGTAAGGAGAGTTTAAGATAGCAGTCTAGGTCTACATTAGAATGCTAACACTGGGGATAACAAAAGATGAATGGTTCTGAGATATATGTATGAAGAATCAACAGAATTTAGTGATGGTTAAATGTGAAGGAGTTCTAAAGGATGAATCTCAAGTGTTTTGCCTGAGTACTTTTCAGAGTGATTCCTGACTGCTGAGTGAATTCCTGTCCCAATGTGTACTTACTTTCTTGTCCAATATTCATTCATACTTGAAAACTTTCTTCATCACTATTTAATACATAAGACAATAAATATCTTGACTATGACCCATTTATTTAAAATCCACTAAGAGCAATTAGACAAGGTTCTTTACATTTAAATCAGTAAGGAAGAGAAATAATACAGGTACTATGTGCTACAGGAACTTATGCAGTTAAGTATACAGTGAAGTCTGGGATGGTGAAAACTTCAGAGGAAGCAATGAGCCCAAGACCAGTGTCTTAAAGCAGACAGAGAACAAACAGGGAAGCAAAGAGGAAAGATACACTAAGCAAGTAATGAAAGTGGGAAAGGGCAGTTTTGTAGACCATGAGCAGACGTTTGTGGTTGAAGAATATTTCTATAGAAGCAAATCTGGAGCTGAGCAGAGGCCAGATATTGAGAGACTTTATATGTCAAGAATGCTGTCCAGTAGAAATAAAATGAGTTACAAATGTGATTTTAAGTTGTCAAGTTGCCACATTAAAGCAACACATTCAAAATAATATTTCAACATGTAATCAATATAAAGAAAAATTGAGATATTTTATATTCTTTTAAAAAACTTATACTAAGCCTTTGAAATTGAGGGCATGTTTTACACTGAAAACACATTTCAATTCAGAGTAGCCATAAAGTGCTCAGTAGCCACATATGGCTAGTGACCACTGTATTGGACACAGCAGTTCTATATAGTGCAGAATTACTGAAGATTTTGAGCAGGATGTAGTTTGCAAAATATTGTAGAAAGCTTACTAAAATAGCCATTTTGGGGCTGAATGGATGAAGGAATGAAGACGGGAGATTAATGACTTTTCCAACACTCAGTTCTGAGGCTTTGAAATGCTGAGAATCAAAAAGGAATAAAGATTTGAAAAAGAAAGGAGATGTTTGAGAGCACGAGTCCCAAGGGAGACATGAGAATGAAAAAGCCAAAGATTCAGAGAACTTTTAAGCTGGGAAGAAGAAAATGGTTATAATTATGTATGCTAACAATCTTGGTAAAATAGAACAAAGAAGTATATAATGAGAAAGGAGTAAGAGAGGATTGAGAATTTATGAGAAAGCAGCAAGTAGTTTATATGAGCAGTGTGATGAATTGAGTGAGGGAGAGTATAAAAGTTCGAGTAGCAGTGAAACTAGAAAACATGCATGGCTGGTATTAAGCATGAATTTATACCAAGCCCAATAAACAAGTTTTCTGATTATTTTTCGTCGCAGTACCTGCTCTGCAGTACCAAAGCATTAACAGAGAAAGCAGACAGGAATCAACAAAGTATTGGTCAAGAGGCTATGGACTCCAGGTGCTTGGAAGACAATGAAAGCACATAACAGGGCTCAGCCTGGCCAGTTAAATGAAATGAAATGAAAAGGCTCTAAATAAAAGAATATAGTTTAGAACCATCACAGTATCTCTCCAGTCTCCAGCCTTTACAGTCTTTTATTTTTAACTCTCTTTTTCTTACCTTCTTAATGATATACTATCTGTTGCCTCATATCTCCCCTAATATAATTTTCTGGAAGAAACTATGTTGCTAATTGCTTCTGCAACTCTTTTATTAATTAGTATGCCTCTATCTGCCTTATTAGTTGCTCAATATTTGCACAGTATAACATCGGATAATAGTTACGATAAATCTCAAAATAGCTTTATATTGTGTACATACCCACAAACATTAATATGTGCTTTTCAACCAACATAGCTTTAGTCATATAAACATTTATATTTCTATACTTGATTTAGACTTTTTCCACAAATGCCCAAATGCTATACCTTATCAACAGGCTACACCTCTTCATAAGGAATAAAGAACTAGTATTATTATATTATTATCACTAATACTAAGACAGCTAGGAATGAGTGAGCTTAGTTATTAGCAAGCTATTATCAGAAGTGGCAAGGTTATAATCAATTCAACTCTAGGCTGTTCTAAGAGCTGTCTTTAGCTTACAAAGGCTGTCCATTTGCAGAAATGGTTTTACCTGGGTTGAGAAAGATGAGACAAATGAACCCACACCCTGCAGCTAGGCCTGGACTAACTACTTCTATTGCCAAGGACACCATGTACATTGGAAAAAACTAAAAATAATCAAAATGAAGTTTCTTTCACTCAGTCCAACTTGGCTATAGAGTCAGGACCTTAAAATAGCTTTGAAAGCTCAGAAGTTTTGGCCAGACATAGCTAGAGATGTCTCAGAGGAAAGGCTTCCCAACTCTAAAGCACTGGTTTTAGGCTCTCTCACTCTGCCCCACTGGCTTTTTTTTTTCCCCCGATTCAGTACACCCTAGGGAGATACACTCCAAATTGGTGTTTGGCACATGTAGGTGGCTACACTCACCTACCCCTTACTGTGAGAAATCAATGATGTAAAACAAATACTATTCTCAAATTCACCTAACAATTAAATAGGGAACTATTATATATACAAACCTCATCCAGAGTCTCTTCAGACTTGGTTTCTTTGGGTTTATCTTCATTAAGCTTCACATTTTTCACCTGCTCAGACACTTTACTTATACTTTCAGTACCCTTGAAACGCTGTAAGGAAAATATTCTAACATCATATTCAGGATTGGCTAAAAGCTAGGAAGGACATTTAGATTTTCAGCCTCTCAATTAAATGAACATCTGCACCATGAATATCGGCTACATAAGTCAAATAGAAATAAATAGAAACTGCCTAAGAACAAAGGAAATATGCCAAGCATTTTAATCAACAAATTGGCCCTCAAACCATCTCACAATATAAATTCTGTAACGAAAACCATGACTCAGAGATATAAATACTACTCAACTCCTTAATAAAGATTTGTTTCTGTGGAAGATGGTCATTTCATAGTGAACACATATTGGGAAATTTCTTAAAATTTGTTTTTCTAATGACTCAGCATAAATCTGAGACTTTAAATTCATTAATGAAATGGAACTTACTTTGGATTTATAACTTTTCGGTGCCCTTAAAAATTTGTCATCTTTACTAGAGAATTATTTTAAAGATCTGATCCTTTTCAAAATATCAAAACATCCTGCTATACTGCAGATTAGCCTCCCTAGAGTTGACGGCCAGCCCATTTATTACAGTTAAGAAAAACTGCAGATGTAAAAACTTCATATTCTGCAAATAAATGCATTCAAAACTTATTTTTGGGAATAACATCTAAAATGATATTCTGCTAATAAAATATAACAATACTCACCTTACTTTCAAAAAGATGGTTATAGGCTGTAACCAAATGATCCTTGTTAGCTGTCTTGGCCACATTTTTAATGTTTCCTAATAATTTATGTTCTGCAAGAAACTAAAAAAAAAAAAAAAAAAGTCAAAAAAATTTTCCTCAGATAAAATGGGTCTAAAATTATAAAATGACCTTTTATGTTAGCTATTATGTTTTCAATAATACTACTGATAGGAAAAAATGAAATAAATGTATTTTATACCCTACTTTGTAACAACAAAAAAAGATTTAAGGAAGATTTTAAAAACCGTATTGGGCAGTTCTTTAGAAGAGTTATTTAGAAGACTGGAACTGCAGTATTATGTAGGGGTCACACTGGTGTGTACTAACCCATTTTCCATAACAGAACTCAGAAAAGCACATTTGTACAGCAAGCACACTTTGGTAACTGGGCAAAGCTGCTCCTGGCAGGATGTTACTTGGCCCTGGCAGAGCCTCCTGCCATGTTGGGCACAGCTATCTTGACACATCTATAACCCATTCTGGCAGACTGGGAAAAACAGTTACATAACGCCAGATATATAATGGTTAAGTTTATGGGCTGTAGAGTCAGACCATCCGGGTTAAAATCCTAGCTGATTTTAGACAAGGGACTAAGCTTCCCTGAAGATTTAGTTTCTATATCACAGTGGAAGATTAATAACAGCATTTATGTCAACAGAGGGTGGTTGTAAGGATAATCTACAATAGAATTACATTTCTCTCAAATATAAGACCAGTGCTTGCTTCAGCAGCACATACACTAAAATTCAAATATAAGACTAAGTTGGCAGATGGGCACCAAAACACTATTAAAATATGAAGTCATCAAAATCATGTAACTTCATCTCAAAATCATGTAACAAGGATTTTAATAACTTCTTTGTTTCCTTTATTCTGCTTCCTTTTCTGCCTTGTGGACCTTGCTTGGTTCCTTTTACTTTCTCAGTTGTCCTCTGACTCTTCTAACCTTTGATAAAGCAGTTTTCCTAACACTGTCACTATTGTTTTTGCTGTTTTACTCTCCCCCTCCTAGAGAAATGTTCTAAATGATAAAGGCTGATGGGGAAAGGCTATTTTGATTATATAAAAGTAACCCATTGCATTAGTATTCCTGTGATTTCTTTAGCAAGATTTCTGGAAAATATCCAAAATATAAACATCTCTTTGATATCTTATGATCAATAAAATAGTGACTGTAAATATAGGTTTAAGTATGTGACTGTACACTATAGAATATGCACTTGAAAGATTAATGTGCCTAAAAATATTTTGTCAGTCTCTCAAAATTGTCCCACCTGGGCCAGTTTTACTTTAGATTCCACATTGGGTTGATTTGTTTTATAAGAATTTGTTGAAGTACAATATTGAGGCATTCTATTGCTCCATTTGAAATATGAATTGGCTTAAAATAATTCCACTAAATTGGTATAAAATGGTATCCCTGAAGCAAGGTCTCTTTTTCATCCTTGTATCCCCAAACACTTGAGCATAGCTCTTGCTGTAGATGTCAGGATAATTACTTAGGAGTATGGAGCTGGAAGGTGGAGAATAATTCTCTCTCCTTCAAGACAGCTCAAAGTGAAAATCTTAGAATCTTCTCAAAGGAACCCAGAAACAATATTTCTAAATACTAATTTAGAACCTAAAAAAAATTATAGAGAAACCACATAGACTGCTGCTTCTCTTTCCGATAGTGGGCGATGCCTCGTTCATAACATTTACAGTCGTTCAGTAATTTAAGAGAGGTATGAATGATCTTAACTTTCGAAGGAAAAAAAGTCTGACAAAAATAACTTGTGACTACAGACGGGTGGTTAAGATGGAGACTATGCTGAAAAATGCAGGACATATCTGTAAAGAATGCCAAATTGATTAATTTATAACAATGGGAGACCACTATATATGAAATGCGCACGTTAACTCCAACTATAAAGGTGAAAAAGTCACTTAAAGGTTCCACATTTTAAAAAGTTAAACCACAATTTACGGATTTTTTTTAAAATGACACGTATTAGTGTTCAGTATTTAGTAATTAATGAGAAAAGCAAATCGCACACACTGTTCCCACAGAATCTTCATATTCTTTCTCATTTCCCTAACAGCCCGCACTCTCCTCTAGAGGTCTCATCCAAAGGCCCACTCCTCGGCCCCTGGCCTCAGCCACATCTACTGGGTTTCTTTTTTTCATGGCCTTCCCCTCACTCAAAGATCCCAATAAGGTTCTAATTCTGCGATTGCTTCCTGCGAGCCCCAAACGGTAACGCTGCTCCACCCGCCCAAGCAGGGCAGGCCTGAGGGGCGGGAGCCCGGCTCCAAAGCTCACGCAGGGCCTCTCCGGCCTTCCAGGCCACCGGCCGCGAGAGGACGAGGGCGGGGGCACAGAGGGATACGGAATGTACGGACATCTCCGGGGGGGTGAGGCGTCCCTCAGCCGCACTAGCCCGGCCGCCCCGCCGCCTCTGGTACCGAATCTGAACCGTGGTCCTGTAGAAACTTGATAATGTCCTTCTTGGGTAGCTGCTCGCTGCGCAGCTGCTCCACGGTCCAGGCCCGCTGTGGAACGGCTGCCGCCATCTTCCCCCGCTGCCTCGCTTTACTGAGCCAGCCCGCCTTGGTTCTGCATCGCTCCGCCCCGGGGCGTGGCGTGGACCAGCACTGAGCTCGACGGGGCGGGATCATGGCACTACCCGGCGGGATTGGGGCGCGTCCTTGAGTGACGTCAAGGCTGTGCTTTGAGGACTTCTTTATTGAGTCCGGGTGAAAATCCAGCTGATGGGGCTCTAGCGGCCAACTGCGCAGAATACTGTAAACTGTAATCTACTTTTAATTGGAGCCCTTGTGAGACTTCTGAAGGTAGTGATATTTACTAACCATTACCCACACTTGTTTTTTACCGACGGTTTGCTGTGCCTTTAAAGTCTATAACCTATTTAAAGAAAACAGCATTTAGACAACTAACTTCATTTCATCTAATTCGAACCTAAAAATTCACACCTAAATTGGCTGTCTTCATCTAACAGAACAACCCATATCCCATCTCCCTTTTAAAACTCACACAAATGAAACTAAAATACAACTGTGCCCCCCCCCCCAAATACAAACACAAGAGAAACAATGATCTAAAAGCAAATTCAGGAATTTAACCCAATAAAACAATGTAACGAAGTTACGCGCAAGAAGTCATTTGCTGATGGCGATGTGGGTGACATTAATGCTCAAAACATTTCAGGATGTGTGTACTTTTCCTCAATACACGAGGAAACAAATTTACAACGGTTACTTAAAGTCGCCAGGTTTAGAGTAGAGAAGCCGGGAATTGTATCCAAGCTTGAGGTAGAAAGCTATCGCTAGAGTAAAACCACAAAGACGCTTATCGTTCCATATAATTTATGAAGATGTGAGGAGCATCAGAATCATTTTTTTTTCCCTTTCGGATTGTCCAGCGAATATCAGGACCAAACCATTTACTTCCACGTTAATAATAAAAATATTAAGATAATGGGTTGCCACTCCTAATACTGCAAAAAAGAGACCCGACATTTTGTTTTCTCAGGCTGGGTAGAGAAATAAGACATTATTTAATTGAATCTAAATTTTCGGTTTTCACCTCATTTTCTGATTTAAAAACACAACTAACAACAAATAAATCATGTTAGATTATAATAATGTTAAGTTCACAAAAAAATGTGAGTACTGATTGTCCTCAGGATCTCAAGGTTATTTATTTTTATTATTTCATGCGACATCACTTCAGCAATGACGGCAGGACACCCAGCCATTGGACGCGGAACTCAAATTCAGAGTTTACTAAAAAGCTGAAAAAGGGACCAAGTTTGAAGTAACTCCAAAACAATGCGCATGCGTCTCTGGGAGGGCCTCGAGGGTTTCCATGAAGCTAGCCAATCATTCTCAACGCAAACTCAGGGGCGGCATTTTCAACTGGATAAACTAACCTCAGCCCCGCCTCTGGTTCCACTGTTCTGGGTGAAGGTAAACCGATGGGGGTGAAACTGTGGCGGTTGAGCTGCTGCAGCTGCTGGCATTTGAGAAAAACTTTTGGTGGTTGTCGGCCTCATGAGCGGACGGCAAAGAACGCTTTTCCAGACGTGGGGCTCGAGTATCTCCCGATCCGCTGGGGCTCCAGGTTGCAGCTCTGGAAATGAGCGGCCTCAGAACCCCAGCGTCTCTAAGGCGCGATTTCCTGCTGCGGCAGAAGCCGCGGTGGCACAGCAGGAGTCAGATGATGATGATGTGCTGCTTGTCGCAATGTACGAGGCAGAGCGGCAGCTGAGTCTAGAGAACAGCGGGTTCTGCACCTCTGCGGGAGCCCTGTGGATTTACCCTACTAATTGCCCAGTGCGGGACTACCAGCTTCACATCGCCCGGGCCGCTCTGTTCTGTAACACGCTAGTGTGTTTGCCCACCGGGCTGGGAAAGACCTTTATTGCCGCCGTGGTCATGTACAATTTCTACCGCTGGTTCCCTTCTGGCAAGGTGGTTTTCATGGCCCCCACGAAACCGTTGGTGACACAGCAGATCGAGGCTTGCTACCGGGTGATGGGGATCCCGCAATTCCACATGGCGGAAATGACAGGTATTTTAAAAAGAATGGGCTAATTTGAAATTAAGAGCTGGGTACTCTCTTGGAAATTGAGCTAAAGGAATTCCTGAAACATGGAATAGTCCCTAGATTATATGTTTTCTTACTTCCTCTCCCTTAAACATCATGTACAGGCATGCCTCCTTTTTTTATTGCTCTTTGCTTTATTGCGCTTCACAGATGTTGACGTTTTTAGAAATGAAGGAAAGACCCTCCAACCAGCCAAAAGATTACTACTCACTTTATTGCTATACTAGCTTTATTGCGGTGGTCTGGTACTGACCACTGCATGTCTCTGTGGTATGACTGTATTTGTAGCAAGTCCAGCCTTAATAGGTTTGTTTTATTCTGTCAGAATCCCTGTAGCTTGTCAGAGCATTTTGAAGCTGTTAAGTGTTTATGTATTCCCCATCGGTTACCCAGTGTCACTTTTATTTATAGGATCTACCCACGCAGTCACCAGGAAGGAAATATGGAGCAATAAGAGAGTCCTTTTCCTTACACCTCAAGTCATGGTCAATGACCTTTCTAGAGGAGCTTGTCCTGCTGCTGAAATAAAGTGTCTAGTTATTGATGAAGCTCATAAAGCTCTTGGAAACTATGCTTATTGCCAGGTAATATTTTCTTAAAAAGTATTTTGTAGAGTAAACATTGTTAGAGGGTATTTTGGAGAGTAATGATTAATAATGGAAGTTATTGATGGTATTATGAAAAGCCTTAACATCTGTTATCTTGGAACAGATAGCGATAGGAAATACTTTTCTTCATCTATTAAAATCAGTATCTGCTGTCTTTATTTGTTTATTTATTTTGCTTAACAAGGCCATTAGTGTCAGATGTAGATATGAGAGCCTCGTCATTGAGGCAGTGATCCAAACTAGGGTATGGGTGGAGTTTTGGAACTGAGATAATTCAAAGATTTGTAGTGAATATGCAGTGTAATTCCTTGGTAGGTAGGTAAAATAATACTCAACTGTTAGCATTGTTTTAGAGATCGAATGACATAATGCAGCGTACCTAACACAGTGCCTTGTAGTCAAGTACTATAGTAATATAAAGTACAAAGGTGAAAAGGTGGGCTATGACTGGAGAGTACTTAAGAGCCAAGTCATGAAGGCATTTGTATTTTATGCTTAGTAGTTTGAATGTTCTTTGTAGGTCATAAGGGATGTAGATGGTGGAGACATTGAAAAATGTTTAGCTAGGGCGATATTTAAGATTTAGAAGAGATTAGAGAGAGAGCTAAAAGCAAGTGTACAATGAAAGATAGGAATTCAGGATGACTCCCAGGTTTCTGACTTGGAAGATTGTGAGGATGTTGGTGCTACTAGTCAAGATGGAAAGTTCTGGAGGTAGAGAATATTTGGGGTGTTATGGAAAGATAGTACAGTTTTAGATTGTTGAGTTTGAGATATCTGTGAGGAATCTAGCTGTAGATATCTAGTAAGCAGTAGGTGATAGAAGTATAGATTAAGTAAAGAGTTCTGAGCTGGAGATACAGGTTTGGAAATCATCAACTTATAAGTGCTAGGTATTAAAACTAATAGCTGGTGATACTAGGGAGAGAGTATTGTGTAAGGTTAGAAGGGAAAGTTAATTTCATTTAGTGCAAAGAGATGAGTTTCACTGTCATTTTGTGAATTTGTAAAGTAGCTTTTTGGGGGGACTTTATTATTGTATTATATCAGTATTATCTTTTAGAAAATCATCTTTCTCAGAGTTGATCTCAGCTAGAAAATGGATATATTTTTCCATTTATTTGTATTTTTTCAAGTTAAATTGATACTCAGTGTGTTAGGATTTCCACTTGAGAGGGGCAATTACAAATTTTTATTCTAATTATGGAATTCATTTTGTAGATTTAGCTTATATTTAGCAACTTTAACTCGTTTATTTCCAAAAAATTGCTAAGCATTAGGTGATTTCTTTTTTATTTAAAAAATTTTTTTTAAATAGGTGATTTCTTTTTTAAACAACAGGGCTTATGCTTTTAGAGTACTATGAGACATGCATTGACTTAATTAATACTCAAACATCCCTGAGAGTTTATGCTACATTGAATATTCAGATATAGGTTCTAACAGGCATACCAGCTCAATGAAGAAATTATCTTCCAGGGTTACAAACACACCACTAGTTCTTCTACAAAATGCTTGAGAACCCCTCTTGGAAAAAAGTCATGTATTAGGGACATTTTGTCTTGCATCAGTTTTTAATTAGAACAATTCTGTTTAACTGTCCATTAAGTATAATATTCTATCTTTATATGCATTCTATATCGCTTTTTTTTAAAAAAAAAAAAAAAAAACAAGCTCTAGAAATAATTTCTTTGAGTTTTAATGAAGATTCAGTGTGAGTCTCATTGAATTCATCCTTGACATGGGTTGAAGTTAGAACAGTTTTTAGATAATCTAGTTTTACTGTTTTCTATATCTAATGTGGGACTGTGGAATACTGAGAGCTATTCCTGCAACTCAGTTTACTTAGGGGTCCTTTTTTCTTATATTGGGGCCTCATGAAGGGGCATATGAGAATCTGGAAAATTATCCAGTATTAATCATACCAGAAGTTGTGTTGAAATTAAACTGGGAAACCTGGAATGACGCTTGTTGCCACCTAGAAAATGTTTTAGAATTTAAAAGGAAAGTTAAGATTTTTTAAATTACCCCAAAGTAGCCTTATTCTTTTAAAAATAAACTTAATTTAAAAATTGTGAGCCTTCCACATAAAATCTAACTTCTTTAAAATCTCAAAATAATTTTTTTATTTCAAATTTAATTTTATATTGGTATTCAATTTTTTTCTATTTTTATACTGTGATTTATCCTAATCCGGTAAATGTGCATATGTATATAGCTGTAAGGCTACACCGTGGCCCAAGCAATGGAGAGTGGACTCTTTTCTTTCATTTGCCCTTGAGTTAGCCATCTGAGTATTTTGATTTGCCTCTGTATTAGGCCTTGATGTCATAGCTTTATACATAGAAGAAATCCCAAAGTGTTTTTGATTGGTGTATAGACCTAAATCACTTGCTCTTCATATAATATGACTAATGATTGTTTCATATACTAGGTTTATCAATACTCCGAATAAAGGAATAATGATAATGGTCCATATATAATAGCCTATTTAACAAAATTATTATTATTTTTGTATTGGATAGATGAAATTAAAGAGTTTTTTTTTTTTTTTTTTTAAGGTTGTAAGAGAACTAGTCAAATATACCAATCACTTTAGAATCTTGGCTCTTAGTGCCACACCAGGTAGTGATATAAAGGTAAGTAAAATGTCTTTCCATTTATTAACACTTAGGAAAATAAGAACTTTTGTATGTGGCCAGATCAGTTTTCCATTTTAGTATTTAGTTTGACATTAAGACTACAACATTTCCTACAACTTGACTACTTTTTCTTCTGTTTACAGTTAGTTTTTATACATTAGTAATTTTCAGACTTCAGTGTGCAGAAGAATCATCTAAAGCTGTTTGTTAAATTTTTACTGTTTTCAGTTCTTTTAATGTCTTATTTTGAAATGACTTTAGACTTCCAGAAAATTTGAAAAAATTGAAGTCTCCATGATAAAATTATCAAAACCAGGAAATTAACATTAATACAATACTAGTAACTAATCTAGTTACTAGTACTAGTAGACCGTATTTGAATTTTGACGGTTTTCCTACCAGTGTCCTTTTCTGCTTCAGTGTCCAGTTCAGGATCTTACATTGCATTAGTTGTCATGTCTCCTTTGTCCATTCCAATCTGTGACAGTTCCTCTGTCTTTTGTTGTCTTCCATGACCTTTTCTTGTTTTTCATGATGCTTTTGAAGAGTGAGTGCCAGATATTTTGTAGAATATCCCTCAATTTGGGTTTAATATTTTCTCATGATTGGAGTGAGGTTATGTAGATTTCCTGATTCTTGGCAAACACTTTTTTTTTTTTGCTCTAAACTTGACTGTTATATAATTTGGGGGGGATTTAGTTTGCTGATCTAAAACTTCAGTTTTGAGTCCTTATGAAATGTTGATGGAAAATATCACTGCTATTGGAAAGTGCAAAATATATTTCATTGACTTGTTAGATATTTACCGATATCCTTATTTCTTGGATGCTTGGCTTGAAGGGCTATGTGGAAGAAAGATGTTTCAAAACCCTTGTTTCTCTATTGTGCCAATTCTTGTGTACTTTATAGTACTTTTTTTAAATTAATGATGAATTTTTAATGTTTCTTTCAAAAATTTTACTTCTATTTCTGTTAGTGACAAAGTAAAATATTTAACATGTAACATAATTTATGATCATAACTGATTTTGTGTAGGCTGTGCAGCAGGTTATTACTAACCTACTAATTGGGCAGATAGAACTTCGTTCTGAAGATTCTCCAGATATTTTGCCATACTCTCATGAAAGACAAGTTGAAAAGCTTGTTGTTCCCCTTGGTGAAGAACTCACAGCTATCCAAAAGGCGTATGTTCAGGTAAGCCATTTTGATCACAATGCAGGATTTTAATAAATGAACTGATAGTGTAATTATTTTAATTAACAGAATCTGGCTTTGAGAATATGTAGTTATCATTTTATATAATCGTTGAAAAATTTTTTGAAATTAAAATTTTTGGAATGAGCACCATGTTTTAAATGTACTGACAAACTTAGTTAAAGAAGTTGACCATTTCTAAAGTCAATAATAGCCTTATATGGTTTTGTATTTTTTTAAGTAAACCTTTCAATTGTAGTATAACACTTTCTCCTCATACACACACTCAGCAGAGTGCACAAAATATATGTGCAGTTCAGTGACTTTTTATTTAGTGAACATACCCATAACACATATCCAGATTCAATCAGAAATTTCTTTGTAAGGAAATGTATTTTCAGTATGTTCCTCCCTGATCCCTTATATAGCAATGGTTCTCAACGAGAGGCGATTGTGCCTAACTGGTAACGTTTGGCAATGACGTAACACATTTTTGGTTGTTATATCTGGAGAGAATAGGGGGTGGATTGCTCCTGGCATTTAGTATATAGAGACTGGAAATGCTGCTTAACATTCTGCAATGGACAGGAGAGCCTCCGACAATAAAGAATTATCTGGTCCAATTGTAGCTATTGAGAATCTTCTTTGACAGTTATCACTTTCAGTGGAAGAAATTTGAGGTAACACATTGTTTTTCTGTAGTTCATAATTAGTGTCATGCTAGGAGAATGCCTTGTTTTCATATTTCATTGCCATGGATTAAAGATGGCCACAGATTCTTTGCCACTCCTCTAGTTGAGAGGTAGGATACATTTCCTCTTCCCTAGAATCTAGGCTGGCCCTGTGACTGACTTTGACCAACAGAATGTGACAAAACTCAAGCTATCCATGTTGAGGAGAAAGGAGGAACCAGTAGATAACAAAGTAGAATCGAAGGTTTGGACATGTGGCCCCAGTTGAGCTATTTCAGCTCCCCCAGCCATCTGAGTCTCCAGACATCAGGTGCAGAGACAAGCTGTTGTGCCCTGACAGAATTCTTTTTTCATTTTTAACATTTACAATAATTTTAGAGTTTCAAGAAATTTGCAGAAATAGTATAGAGAGTTCCAGGAGGAGATACTTTAAGAATACAAATATTCCTGTTTATCAACATATTTTGTTCACTGATTTTAGCACGTAATAATGATGGTTCTTGTATACAACAGTTATTTCTGTAGTGTTTGTAATCATTGT